ATACAAAAAAATGAAAATCACATTTCATTCTTCATTAAAATGCGTTCCTGCGAAAGAAGACCAGGAAGCGGCGAATGGCAAAAGGATAGCAGGTAACTTCTTTAACCGCTGCTAAGTGTTTCCTCAAAAACCAGAGTTAAATTTATGATGTTAGAGCGCATTAAAATTCAGTAGCCTTTAAACATAAAATGCTTCACGTCCTGAACTGTCGTATCACTGAAATTAAAGGTATAAAAAATACCAATAAATGTGCCTTCAGGAGTGTAAATGGTATCAATGCTTGCTTTCGACGAGCTCTTTCGGCCTTGTTTCAGATACATCGAGGCAACCGAACAGGTCATCACATCGTCACCTGCAAAAAATAATTCCTTCGAAGAACACACCATGCTGCTCTCATGCAATTATGCGGAAAATGTTTCACTAGAGAACTCTTTTAGAGCATAAGACTAACCGATTTTACTCAGTTTCGACAATTCTACCTTGCAAAACTCGCAGTTACCGAAAACAGCGCTAAAAACTAAAAAAAAAAAAAAAAACAGAAAAAGGGAAAACCCGGAACGCGTTTACACTTTCTCCTTTGCACATCAGAAAGAAGTTCAATGGAATATGCCTCTTATCTTGCTAATAACACCTGAACGTGATTCATCAGTGAGCAGTGCCGGCGAAAGAACAAAAGGCTGGAAATATAGAACTCAGGATGCTACAAATTATGTCTGATGTGTATAAAGAGGATTTCTGTAGCATCGTTGATGATGGATTTGCAGCCTGACTGTACTGCCATTAGTGATAAACCCTTCTTTGTCATGGAATTTGCAACTTTTGACAATTACTGGGCGTATGACCAATGGCAGGTAAGAAAGTCTGGGTGACGTCGCTCGATTACATGTTTGCTTGCCGGTGCACCTTATTTTTAGTAAAGTTGGAGAATTTTAGCTCAACCTTTTGGCATTCCAGGAAAGGTGCAAGAGACACTATTCTGGCCAAAGAAGCACCTTCAAATTCGGCATGTATGTTGCCAGGCGTATCAGATGAGACAAAACAATAATGGAACTAACTAATCTGG